CAGAACTTTTTGCGATCTGCGATCCGCGATCCGCGATCGTCTGCGATCATATGGAAACCAGCCTTTACTGAGGCACCGGAAGGAGAGAGAACTAAAGAACAAAAAGAAAAGCTAAAGAAGTGATTTTCTTTCAGCCTGCCAGTTAAATTATAGTCTTGCTCTGGAAACCCTGTGACTTCACTGGACAATTGTCACTATCACTATTATCAGCAATTATGCTGAAGATATTGACAGACTTGGAAAATGAATTTACGCTCGCAATTATAACAGACTCATTTAGTGTACAGTTATATTTTTCTTTTTATCGGCTCGTCGGTGTTTCAGCTCGGGGGCTATCGCATGAGCACGTGTGTCAGAACGCGTGAAAAATCTAACAAAGCATTACAAGTACCTCCAACAAGTTTTGATAACCTTTCAATCTTTCGCTTTTTTGTGCCCGTAACTTATGAGCATCCTCGTTTTTCACTTTGTGAAGCAGGTATCTTTTGTGGGAGTATTTTGTTATGAATATTATATATAATACACACATATGTATACTCAGACGAAAAAAAAAAATTAAATAAAGTAGTTAGATTTGGCTAACTGAAAACGGCGGCAATACTCACTGCGCGTCAGCGCGTATAAACGGTGAAATAAAGTAATTTTCATTGAAATCATATAAGTGAAACTTTTAGATATCTTATGATTTTACTAAATATTAAGTTCGAGTCCGATCAACTGCTGAAGTTCATGTACTTTGGTTTCCTTACTTGAGGTTTACTCAGACATGTTCGTTGGTTCGCAGCTCTGTTTTGTTCGCAAGTATCTTCCCTTGGTGAGTCGCGCTGAACGGTGAACAATGCTTGCGTGTACATTTTTAAGTCTTTTTCGAGGGGAGGAAAAATCTACCATTCGCCCTATCGCTGCTAAATAAAATGGCTGTCTTTGCGGCTTACAATGAAAGTCTCAAAAGTTATAAAGATAAAGACATCTCTCGTGTTTGAAGTCGCGTGTTTGGAGCTTTGGAACAGTAAAAAACAGTTTGGCAAACAACAAGGGACGTAAACCATTCATAATACCAGTGAAATGGAAAAGGAAAATTTTTTTCAAGTTACTCTCAGCTCACTAATTTGGTCGTCGTAGTTACTGAAGAATGACCGTCCGTGTTGCCGCTGCATCAAAAAGTCATACTACAGGAACATTTTGATTTAGATAACGAGGAAGTATCAGTTTGGCAAAGATGGTGTGACGCTATGAAAGGCTTAGAAATGAGGGTGAGATTTTGTCTTGTGGAACTGCAAATACAGCATAAATAGACAGACCAACATCCCGCGGGCATACCCTGGGCATTTGACTGGCTGATGTGCCTAGAGGTGAGGGCATTTATCAGACATCACTGGTCAGTTAACTGTGTTATTGGGGTGGAATAGTTGACACCAAATGGGAAGGATACGGGGAGATTTGCCCACATTGACTCTAAATTATTGTGAAGTTAGACTCTGTTCTTTTTAACGTTGCGGGTCAAAGAAAGCTGGCCTTCAAAAGTTTAATTGGGAAGGTAAATATAAATCCGTTCTTTTGAAAACTGAATCACTTAAATATTTCAATAAGACACAAAAACAGCACAAAAGAACAAAGTGGAGGTTCAAATGTTCGAGGGCAGAAGCCCATCACCATGGGGAATACTATGTTTAAATAGTTCAGTTAAAACAATGAATAGATAGATTTAGCCAAGCCTAAAACCGGGGCTCCTGATTGCAATAATTAACCATAAAGGAAAAAGAGGATTTTTTTTCTTGGATCAGAAACTCAAAAAACCGTACACAGGCAATCGTTAAAAATATGTTTTACGTAAAACATCACCTATAAAATTCACGTGTTATTTTGACGGCTGGTTTTCCAATGATCACAACCAAACCAAGACACATCTCGCGAATCTGTGTGCAGGACTTGCTTCATCTCGGCTGCCCTCGAGCTGGCCACATAACAATAGTAAGCATCGATTATATATATAAATGCGAGAAGAGAGACGTGCGCGCTCTCTGGGTGGGCATCATTTTTTCTCACTCTATAAAAATAAATACACAACTTTCAGTTATTGATCTTTATTGATTTCCAACATCAATCAATTAATTGCCATTGATTAATATTGATTATTTATTGAATGATTTTCATTGATTGCTATCGTCGGGAAATAGACTGTCACAGCCTCTCTATTCTGACGCTCGCGAAAGAAAAAGCGAGCGAAGCGAGCGCGAAGCACGCTGAAATAATTACGCTCAAATAAATACGCGTACGATCAAATAAATACGAGAAAATAGAGGGCTGTGAACAGTCTAGTCGGGAAACATTAGTCAGTATTCCTCCGGGGTTTTTGCCGTGACTTCATTGGCTGCAAGACTCCTGTAGAATTCGTCAACAGTCAACTGAACGGTGATACACAGCTCGATACCCTGTTTTCAGTTAAAGTTGTGCGCTCTTTTTGATTTTGGTCAACTACCCTGCAAATGAATCGTATCACACAACCAACAGTCACGCAGTTGTGTGACATATTCGGAGCCTGCAATCGCAAGCTACTTGATAGTTCAGCGCCTAATTTTTCCTTGTTTCGTTTCCGATTACGCCAAGCCGGAAACAAAACTGAGCTGCATCGAACACAAAGCTGGGAACGAATCAAAGACTTACAATGGCATTTGTTGAAGAGAACTGGCAGACGAAGTGTTCAGCTATCGCACAGAGAACTACGTTTATTTTCAACACAGAGTTGCTGAGCGATGTAAAATTTGTTGTTCCAGCATCGAGTGGCGAAAGTGAAAGCAAGAAGGTGATTCCAGCTCACAAGTTTGTGCTTGCAATCAGCAGTCCTGTGTTCTATGCCATGTTCTATGGTCAAATGGCAGAGACCAAAAACTCTATTGAGCTGCCTGACTGCGAGTACGAGAGTCTGTTGGAGATGTTTCGCTATTTGTACAGCGACAAAGTGAATTTGAGCGGAAGTAACGTGATGCAAATGCTGTACTTAGCGAACAAATATATGGTGCCTTCACTAGCTAAGAAATGTGTCGGATATCTTCGACGCAATTTAAAAGCATCAAATGTGTTTTGCATTCTGCCGCACGCTCAGAAATTTCAAGATAAAGATTTGAAAGATCGATGCTGGGAAGTGATTGAGAAGCAGACAGAAGAAGCTGTGACGTCAGATGAATTTGTTACAGTTGAGCGATCACTAGTCGAGACAGTTGTGAAGAGAGAAAGACTGGACGTGAAGGAAGTGGAACTTTTTAAAGCCGTCGATCGTTGGGCCACAGAAAAATGTAAAAGGGAAAGAATAACTCCTAACGGAGAGACGAAAAGACGAATTATTGGAGAGGAGATTATGAAAGCGATAAGGTTTCCATTGATGTTAGAGAAGGAGTTTGCCTCAGTTGTCATCGACTCTGACATTCTTACTTTGAAAGAGG